TGTCCTAACAACTTTGGCTCTATTTATTCTCATGAGTTTACTTAAGCCACGATCGAACGGGAACGCGGTGGTTTGGAAGCGGGAGGGAAAATCGGGTTTAGGGATTCAGCGACCGTATAATACCGATCAGAGGATAATCGGTCCTGCAAAAACGGCCCTCTATCTGCGAGTTCACGGTCCGATAAGTAGTCTGCGAAATAAATTATTCGGCGGAATGCTCCAAGTCACGATGACGGGGCTCGACAACGGCGACGTTGTCGCGGCTCGATGCGATGATCATACGCGATCGTCGAATCGTGAAATGTAATTTGCAGGCGTTTTCGGCACTATCGGAGACAGTTAATTGTAATCTTCGGCACATAAACGCCCGACTTCGTGCCGCGATTCATTATTACTCGGGCTTCTACCCTCGCTGGAATTCATATCGCGCGGCCCTACGTGTCGAGGAAAACTTCCCTTATCGCTTCTCCGTATCCACGCCTATATTTTATTCTGGCCGGCTATTCGAAGTTCTACATTTAACTCGGCGCGTTACGAGTCTCGGTGCGGGTCTCGGACGAGTAACGATTTTCAATAGAGACTGCAAATACTCTTATGTGTGCCACCGTCGTGGACAGTAGAACTCGATGAATGTGCAGAAAATGCGATATTGTGGCTGCCACAACCCTCGGCTTGCCCTCCCTCGCCCATGTTTTCCATTGACGATACGCGCGAGATAACGTAGTCTTAGGCGAAAACTCTAGGCAATGATCGGACAAAAGTAGCGGACAGTGCAAGCAGAAAACGAATTAAAAACTTTTTACTCTACGGAAACTAGGTGGATGTTATTACTATTTGGCAAACGAAATTCGGAATTCGCATACTAGGAGGCAACGAGACTGTCGACCTAAGCCATTCGACGACGAGCAACAACGCCGGTGAAAGCCGAGAGGGTTGTCGACGGCCAGCCCAGCTGCGGCATTTTAATGCGCCGCCTTTCGCAACTCGATTCGGTGAATTGCGTTATTCAAATTCGCGGCCCTCGCTATTTTTCCGACACGCCTCGCGAAAGCGTGCTTCGGATGAGCGCGCGGGACGGAGGGTCGGAGGGAGGCGGAGATATGGCAGATCG